CCCGCCCACAGAGTGGCTGCAGAGATGAGCCGGGAGGTCGGCTGAGCTGCCAGAAATACCGCCGAGCAAACGGGAAGGAGGGCAAATTTTTGCGAGCGCGCCCGCAGACAGGAGCCAGGTGCTAGAAGGCTTACGTCTACAACCAGGGAAGGAGAGATGCAAATTCGGCACTAATTTGCATACCTTCTTCTGATCGCTTTTTCGAAAGCGGGTTTTTCGAACGTAGCCTGGCTGAGGTTTTTTTCTGAAAAAAAAAAACCTTTTTTCGAAAAACCGCGTCAACCTCCTTTTTTTTTTTTTGGAAGAGCTTTTTTTTTTCTGAAAAAGAGAGAGCCCCCCCCCCCAAAACCGTGTCCAGGCTACTTTCACTTTCAAAAAAGAGATCAGAAGAAGAGACGCAAATTAGCGCCGAATTTGCATATCTCCTTTCGAAGAAAAAACCCCGTAGTCTAGGCGTATCCTAAGGCTACGTCTACACGATAAGTTATCCCGGCAAAACATATGCTAATGAGGGACTCCTTTGCATGAGTCGTGATCTCATTTGCATATTTTCTGCCGCTCCGTTTTTGCGCAAAAACCAGCAGCGGGGACTTTTTTTTGGGCGCCAAACCCCCTTTTTCCGCAAGAGTTTGTGCGCAACAAAGAAAACATCCCCACTGCTTGTTTTTGGGCAAAAACAGCTCGGCAGAAAATACGCAAATGAGATCGCGACTCATGCAAATGACTCCCTCATTAGCATATTTTTTGCCCAGAGAACTCGTAGTCTAGCGGTACCCTAAGAGAACAGGCACTCTAGTCTATGCTGCAAAATGACGAGTTAGCTGCTTCGTCAGGTTCAGTTCCTGGAATCCAGTTCAAACTCCCTCTCGAGTCGCCGAGAAAACGTGTGCTCGCTAACGCCAAGCCTGGCCAAGTGGCACCTTATAAATCCCAATAAAGTAAACCTAAGACCGCCTGCTACCCCTCCCACCGGGAATTTTAAATGACAGCAGGCGGGAGCGAGGGGGAAGACAATATGGGAGTGGAAAACCTGAGGACACATAGAGCAAAGGCAGTCAATATTCTTTGGCAAACGGCATTGGAATAAGAGAGGTGTCAGATGGTTTCAACAGCCACAGGAGGCAGCTGGAAACGCTATTTTTATTTGCTAATGTGGTGGGACAGCTTGATAACGAGTTTCTTAATTAAACTCGATTCCCGCTAGCCACCAAGGAGGCTGAAAGTGCACTAACGGCACATCCACCCAGATGGTGCGGTCAACAGTGCTCCATCTTGTTGGGCCCACCTGCGTGCGGAATACATTTTGTTCTGTGCACCGAGGCATGGGCAGCAGTGCACCACCAGGGTACGTTCTTGGGCTGACAGAGAGAGCAGAAAGGTTTGGAAGGCAGGTGACGTGTGGGAAGGTGGGGCTCTTCAGCTACCGACTGTATTTGTGGGGGAGGAATTAGTGGTTGATTTTCGGAGGAAGAGGGGTTCCCAGATCTCAATTGGCCTGGGGGTGGGGGAAGTGGCAGGGCGGCCGCAGGTGATCCACCGGCTTGGTGGGCTGGATTCAGCCCGCAAAGGCCCCTCTGCCCACCCTTGTGCTAGCCAGTAAAAGGTGATGTCATGGATCCGACAACTCGCAGAGATCTCTACCAAGGACTGGAAGGCCCAGCCAGTGGGGACCTTGAAGCACTATGGGGCGGCAGGAGGACCTGGAGACGTGAGCTGCCGTGGGAAGTGAGTTCGGAGCCACCAGGGTCCCGGCACGGGCACTGGAACGGCTGCCCGATCCCCTTCTGCTGCAACGGAGCTAAGACTTTCTCTTCCTCCCCTCAGGCATCAGCTCTCCCCACTCATCATCTTTAGTAAAAATCACATACAGGCCCAGTGCCCCACAACCTGTCCAGGATTGACTAAAAATCACGGTGAGCAAGTCTTAACCTTAATCCTGACACAGGGCGAGCTTAACCGGAACACGGAAACAACACAATCTGGCAGAAAGAAGGGCTATTCGATCGCCAAGGTTACCTGTCCAAAGCCAGCTGGCTGCATCATAACATCTCTGCGGGCTAGTTCTCAGCTTAATCGGTTAACTAATTCATCCCCAAGTCACTTCCCTTCCCGCATCGACGGGGCTCCCCGACTGCAGCTGATGGACCCCTCCAAATCCTCGCTCACGTTGTTTGCATCGTTCGGCATCGTGTCTAGATCGGGGAGGGGGACCCACGAAACAAAGAGAGCCGAAAATACGCGAAGAATTTTTTTGTGAGCAATTTTTGCCGAGAAAAAAGAAAAGCTCTCCGGAGTTGTTGAAAAAAAAAGAAAAAGAAAAAAAAAAGGTGCCGCCCCTTTAAAAGACAAGATTTTTGGCCACATCACGCTCCCATCGGCCGCCGCCAGCTTGGCAACGCAATTTTGAATCACCGCACTGGACGGGTCCCCTGCCCCAGTGAGCACAGGGAGCCGGGGATGGTTTCTAGGGGGGCAGGGGTGGCTTCATGAGCCGCGGGGGG